ACTTTAACACATTTATTGTCCTCTTGGGCCAAGGTTTTTCTAATCGGTCCAAGGTCATTGCTGTGTAAATGGCCTGACCTAAGACAAGGGACCCGAAGGCAAACCTCTGGTGGTTGTCCAGAGGAGAGGGGAGCTGCCTTGGGCAGGAATTGCTCAGGGTTAGAACAGGGTTGGCTGTGATTTCTCCTGGGTTTGAGGGTGGTATCATGTGGGTGCCACTTCTTGGACTTGCCTTGGAATAGGGTTTTTCCCATCGCCGTGACCTGTGGAGCTTCACCTCCTTCAGTGGCCCCATGTGCAGCAGAGCTGGGAACAGGCCAGTCTCCTCTGATTTACACCTTGGGAAATGAGGCACACAGAGGTGATAGCCTCCAAAGGCTTTTGGGTCCAGAAATCCTTGAGGCAAGAGCTGTAGGGAATGGCCAAAGGGGACACAGAAGGTCTGGGATAGAGCTGAGGTTGAACCCAGACCTGTGCAGCCACCTTCAGCTGGCCCAGCTCCAAACAGCCTCATCTTTTAGGGGCTCAGACATTTGTGCACTTGAGAAAGCTCCTGTGCCAGGTGGGTGTATTTATGGGCGAGCTGAGGCTCAGCATTCCTGCTGGGGCCTCCAAGTCTGTTCCAAGTGAGGTGTTTTCAGTACGTGCAGGAGTGGGTCCAATGCACAGCCTTGTTGTGGCAAGGTCAGGTAAAGCCCCTGTTCCTGTGTGGGGATTTGGGTTTTATTCTCTCTGCCTGTCAGCTGTGATATACAGATCTTCAGATCTCTGCACTGTCCGTGTGTGTGAGGAACAGAGACTAAACAGAGACACTGTAAAACAAGGTCTAATATCAAATTACTGCGGAGTTTGATGAACATCTGAATTTCACCTCTGGAGGACGGTGACTTGCAGGAGAGGCATCCTTAAAGGACACAGATGTTTGGTACGAACACCTTTATCTCCCAAGATGACTCAGGTTATTCTGACAGGTAAAACAAGATTGTGCAAATATGCAACAATGATCTAATCAGCTGGAACAACAGCAATATTTTAACTGGTGCTACCTTTTAACAGCATCATTAAGGGCTCTCATTACTCTTTTATTAGAGGCTCACTCTATTTCTTATCAGATTACAGAATGAACATAACTCATGGCACTGATTTGATCTCTTGTTAAAGAGGATTACAGCTTTGCATTAACTTGGATTGACACGGTTTATAATTTGCTGTTGATACACATGCTGGCGGTGTCACATGTTTGACCCCCTCCCCACAGCACCGCCGAGGAAAAGGACACCCATACATCATCATTAAACATGGCACCCAGTGCAGAACGGGAGGCAAAAGGAGCCTTTTCTGCAGGAAAGTCAGGCAGGACAAAGGAGACGTGTTCCCAAGTGCACGCTGAGATTCCGAGCAGGGATTTGTAACTGGGGAAGGTGGGGAGGATGTGTTGGGTTTTATAGGGGTTGGTTTGTACCTCTGCAAGTGGATCTTCATTAGGGAGGAGGAATTTGCATCCTTTACGAGCCAAATTAGAGAGAAGAAGATGGCCCTGATGGGACTGTGTCAAACCAAGCAGTGTCACCACAGTGTGGGAGCTGGGGGAATTTTTTCCTGCTCTTCTGAGACCTTTCCATGCTGTGTTTGCCCCCTGTTAGAGAACCTGTCCCTGCCTTTGGGCTCATACACCTGGTGGGGTGAGCTCAGCCAGATCACCTGTTGGCCTGTGGTGGAAGTGACCTTTTTGTCCCTGGTTTGTAGGAATCCCTGACCATCTGCATGTCTGTGTAGTGGCTCCCTCCTTCCAGCTCCTGTGTCCTGCCCAGCCTTGTAGGGCTGCATTTCCCCGACACAGGGGTTTTTTTTCTTTAGCAGATGGTCACAATTTTGTGTTTGACTTTGGAAGTGCAGACTTAATGCAGCAGAACCGGGCTCAGGGCAGGAATCACTTCTCCAAATCCCGTGGCCAAGTGCAAGAAACGAATCCCCTGCCTCCACAGTCCCATTGGCCTCAGGTCATGTGTGGCACAAGAGCATCCAGCCCACTCTTGCTCTTGCATGAGCCTGCTGGGAGGCTGAATTAACTCACAGATTATCCAGCTGCCAGAGAGGCTTGGATTAGAGCATTTCCCCTGGATCCAGCCAGGACGTTGTGTATTTTCCCCATCAGCATTCTCACTTCAGTGCAGTTGCTTTGTCACAGTGTGTCTCTGCAAGCAGAGGGGGGTACGTAGTAGGAAATCCTGGTATTAAAAGATTAATTTACTTATATGACATAAGAGTTTAATAAAAAAAAAATTAAAAAGAAAAAAAAAAAAAGGTTGGTGAGATACCAGCCTTTAACTTCGCTCACTTTGTACTTTGGGTATTAAAACACCATGAGAGGGGATTAATGGAGGAATTTGGGCTCTGCGATTGTCAATCCAGCACCTTCACCACCACAGAATCCCTGAGAGGAGGCAAAGCCCTTCTTTCTGGAACAACTAAACCAGTGGCTTCTGTGCTGCACGGCACAAACCTCGGTGTTGGTGTGAGAAAAGTGATTCTGAGTTTATTCAGGCACAGCCTGGAAGAAAGGCTGTCCTGCCTTGGCTTTGTTTTGGGAAACAAAGGGAGAGAGTATGAACGTGGGGGGCAAGTCTCGGAGTGTGCAGGGCTCTGATGTTTTAGGGAATTTGGGGTGTTTGTGGCACGAGGCTGTGGGTGGGAGGGGGAAGAACCCCCTCAGGAGAGACGTGGGCTCTCTTGGGAAGGTGCTGTGTGACCTGCTGCACACCTGAGCTGGAGGAGAGCCTGAAACAGAAGCAAGAACACGTGTTGTCCCTATGAAACTAAACCTGCTTGGCCTCATCCAGAGGCACTGTGACTTTGGGATCACAGAATCCCAGAATGGTTTGGGTTGGAAGGGAACTTAAAGCTCATCTCATTCCCCCTCCTGCCGTGGGCAGGGACACCTTCCACTAGCCCAGCTTGCCCAGAGCTCCCTCCAACCTGGCCTTGAAATTTCTGCCCTTTGTGTCTCATTTTGTTTGTTTTATTTAAAAATCCTCCCAGCCTTTGACTTGGCCTTCACCATCAGCTTGTGGAGGTGCAGTTTAACACCCCACTTTAACCAGGGTGTCAGAAGGGCTGGTGTCTGCACAGGGGGTTGTGTGTTTTCAGCTGGGGCAGGGTGAAGTGGTGACCCAGTGTGGATGGGCTGGAATCATCCTGTCCCAACACTTGATGTCTGACATCCCTGTGAGGAGAGAGAGGCACCTCTGGTATGGAAATTTCCTTTTTAAAGGGGGGGAAAAAAAAATAACCTGTTAAAGGGCTGCGAGATGATTTGTCGTCTTTCCTTTGTGAGACAATTTGTCTTCTCCTGCATCAAATCTGTTATAAAACAGGCAAGCTGTGAAAGAGGGAAATCATCCCAGGAATACGGGGCGTTAAGGGGCACAAAGAATGGTCCCCTCGTGCTCTCTGGCACAGGGCATTTCCCATGCAGCATCAGAGGCTGCTCTGCTCAAATACCCATCCAAAAACTGACTGAGAAGGCATCTGATGTAATTCATGGGGAAATTCCAGCTGCTGGAACAACGCGTGCCAGCGGATCAAGCTGGAGTTGCCTGCACATCCCTGTGTTTTGCTGCTTCTCCAGCCCGTTTGCCCACATCTTTTATGCTTTGTGCTGCAAAAGCTCCTACGAAAATGCAACTGGGACCTAAGTCAGGATGGGAGAGGGTCCATCTCTGCTCCATCAGTGGTATCCCGAGCTCAGGGCTGGGGTGAGGGGAACGTTCAGAATTGGTGGCAGGGACAGCAGGGAAGAACCCCAGGTCTGGTTATGTTTGGGGAGTGGTACCTTGAGCACCAGCCCTCCATCTCTCTGCTGCCCTCCCACTCCCCATTCCCAGATCCAGCCTCTCAAAACGCTCAGAGTCCCTTTGTTTAGGGCAAGAACCAGCTTTCTGAAACATTTATATAAATCCCGTGCCTGCTCTCGGGAGACGAGCCAGAGGTCACATGTCACCCTCCATAATTCAAAGCCGTGGGGCTAAAAGCATTTGCACAGGCTCGGGGTGGGAGTGGGGAGCCCGATCCTGACCCTCCTGGGCTGGAGGGAATTGCAGGAGACCTTTGTGAGCCCCCCTGGAGCTCCGGGAGCGCCGGGACGGGGGGGATGCAGCCGGAGCTGAGAGCTCAGGGCTTGGGAAGGGAGTGAGTGCCATCTCGTGGGGCTGGACACAGAGCCCCAGGGCCCTTCCTGTGCCACTCCAGGGTGTCTGAGTCCTGCTTTTGGGATCCCCACATCACCCAGCACCCCGAGGGCTTGTCCCCGCAGAGCCGGAGTGGGGAATGCAGGCTGGAAGGGGTGGGAATACAGAGCCAAACCCCACACCCAGCTGGTTTGGGGTTTGACTGGAAATCAAGGCTGCTTTAGCCTTTCTCTAGAAATTAAAAAATAAGTGGTCTCAGCTTGTTTTATCTTCCTGGTCTCTTCTGTTGCCTATAGAGTGCATGTAGCAGCGATACCTTGGATTTAGAGGGGGGGTAAAATCCACCGGGCATTTAGCACACCAAGCTCACCTGGAGTAGCATTTAGCACACCAAGCTCACCTGGAGTAGCTGCTCCTTTTATTTCATTTTTTAAGGAAAAAAATAATTTTTATGAAAAATCATTTTGAAAAATCATTTAAAAAAAATCATTAAGAAATGAAAAGCTTCAGCTTTATTTTATCTTCCTGGTACCTGCCCAGCTTGCTGGACACTGAGTAACCTGAATTTTCACACCACTGGACAAAACATTTCTTAGGGCCCAGACAGAAAGTTTTCCAAGGAAACAATCTGCCAACTTCAGTTTTCATCAGGAGTCGTGTGTTTTCCATTCTTTCGTGCTCCCTTTCTTCATGGGTGTTCATGTTCTGTCTTTTTCCAGTTTTTGTGAATTAAAAATTCATAGTTCCCAGTGGAGGAGTGGGTTATACAGTCATTTCAGTACTGCTTGTGGCATATTCTAAATTATCTTTCTCTTTGGGTAGAGGAAGAGGAGAAGTAAAAGGTACAAGGGAGAAGGCAGAGACATTGGTTGGAGGGTATTTTTACTAGAAGAGCACTATTGCCATTTTAATAAAAAAAAAAAAAGCCACCAGAAACTGAATTTTCCCCCCTAGTATTGTTCTTCTATTAGTTCACAGACCTGTATTTAGAAAAATGGCTATAATTACACAGAGTGGTACAATACTTTGGCTTTTCCCACATGCAGGTTTGGTTTCCCTTTGTACATTTGGTGGGCAAAGCACCTTCCTGGGGATCTGTTTAGAATTATTTTTGTGATGTGTATGTTGAAGATTCGTACAGATTTATGAAATGTGCTGTTGCAATTAATATTCACTCTCTCTGTGTGTCTGTGTGTGTGTTTCCTTGGTCTCTGTTGCAGGGATTTTGCCTGCAAAATGTGTGTAGCAGCAATACCTGGGGTTTGGAGTGGAGGGAAAAGCCCACTGGGCATTTAGCACACCAGGCTCCCCACCTGGAGTAGCTGCTCCTTTTATTTCATATTTTAAAACAATATTGTTGACCTGAGAAGCCCAGTTTTCATGGTGGGGAGGTGACACGGTGCCTGTGCTGTCCCCTGGCTCTGGAGCCAGCTCAGAAGAAATGCATAAATAATTAAGCCAAGGTACTTACACACACATGTTTTATGGCAAATGGCTCCGTGGTCCGTGATCATTTTTTTCCAGAAACAGGTTTTATGATAATACAGTAAAAATATTAAATTAGAAAATGCCTCACTAAGGGTGATAAAACCTTACTACAGTGGAAATAGGTAATTATCCCCTCTACAGCCTAAATGACAGTTTAAAAGAAATAAAAATGTTAGTGCTCATTACTTGCTTTTGTAGGTTGCAATAAAGGGTAAGTTAAATTTTAATTCAAGGAAGACCCCTGTATCGACCTGCCTCTTCCACACTCCCCACCTGAGGTGTGAGTACTCTTAATTACCTGCACAGGTTATTCCTCAGCACATGCTGCCTCCAGCCCCTCTTTGTGCTAAAGTCACCTTTCCTCCAGCTGCAGGTGACACACTTTGCAGTGGGGTTGTTACAACTCAGTGGCTCAAGTCTTGATGGTTCATATCTGTGGGTGGAGGAGAGAAATTTTATATTTTTTTAACCAAAAAATCCAAGTTCATTATGCATAGCCTTAAGGGGGCTGAAAGTATTAAAATCTGCACTTACCCTGGTGAATTGAAACAGAGACAAGGTTAAACCTGGAGGATTGATGAGTTTTACTCTCTGCATGGTTAAATCCTGCTGAGGGGAGAGGCTGTAAAAAAAAAGGGAGCCTGGAGGATGAGAAGAGAGGGGAAAAAAAAAAAAAGGTTGGGTTGTTTTATTATTTTATTTTTCAGGGTGAAATGTTTGTTCTGTTTTGGGGGTGGTTTGGGGGTTACCTGGTTTCCCTCCTCCTCCTGTCACTCTGCCGGGGTGTTTGTCCATGGTGTGTTATCCAAACTGGGATTTCTGCTTCATCAGAGGTTGCTGTGCCTGGGAGGATGAGGCTGTGGGGTGCAGGGGAGCCCCTTGTGCCCCCCAAAACCCGGGGTGTCCACGTCACAACCCGTCTGTGCTGGCAAAACACTCCTCTGCCAGCAGAGACAAATCCTCACCCGAAATCCCCCCGGGCCCTGCTCGCCTGAAAAATGGCTGTTTGTTTAAAATCTGTGGGATTGGAGCAAATTCAGCATCCATCCCTGAACTCCTGTACCCACAGGACAGTGTCAAACCCACCAAAAGGAGGACAGAAACCTGAGGAATTCTCCTCCTTGGGTTCTCCAGCAGTGGGAAAGGCCGAGGCAGGCTGCAAAGGAACAGCACTCTGGGGTTTTATCTGCAAACACAGCAGCTCTTGCTGCCTTTGGTGGTTTTTTTAGGGTCCCCCAATGTGCCCACGTTGTGTTTGAGCTTCCTCACGTTGCTGGGGATGTAAGAAATGAGTGAATGTGTAAGGAAGAAGGGCCTGGAGACCTGGAGAGGGGAGCCTGTTCTGGAGCAAATCCCCTTTGGGTTTTCCAGAATGCCTTTAGGGTAGTTTGAGGCAATGGGATCACTTGGTTCTCACTCATAACCCTGGGGTTGCTACTGTTCTTGGAAGGGAAAATCCCACCCCTCCATGTAACCAACACCCCACTCTGTGTGTGCAGCCCCTGACAAAAGGCTGCTGCTTCAGAAAATGCATTTATACAAAACAAGGCAGAAATACCTCTCCCCCAGCTCAGGTTACTCTGTTTCTAAAATTAAAGATAACATTGGCCCACTTTTTTTTCTTTTTCTTTTTTTTTAAAGGGAAATTTGCTCCCGTTATCAGAATTGCTGCACGTGGGATATTAATTGGAATCTTGTTGCTGGGTCATTTTCATTGTTTTTCAAGTACTGTCCAAGAAAATGTATGAAAACTAAATTACAGTCCCACGTAGGCTGTGATTGAATCCTCCTTACGGCTCCGTGGCCTCGTACATCCTATTAAAATATTCAATCTTGTTTTCTTACTTGAAGAGCCTGTCTGGAAAGGGCAAACTTATAGAAGCCCTCATTCTCTGGAGATACAAGATCCAGCCACGCTGAGATATTTACATATTTCTGTGCTGCCTGGGATTGGTCTCACACAAGTTTCTCCCCACTCTGTATTTATTAATAAAGGTTGTTGAATGCATTTTTAATTACAGGAGGCCTTTTCATTTGGAGTGGCAGCCTCTTTTTCCCCGTTTTGACCTTGAAAAGTAACTTTTCCCTCTCCCATTTTCCTTTTTTTTCATCCCCAGGACGGAGCTTTATCGTTCCCTGTTTGGAAAAATGACCAATGGTGAAGAGCTGGAGCAGAATTAGGATCAGGCCCCGGCTCCCGACGTCCCCTTGGCTCCCAGGAGCAGGGCAAGGTGTCCCCAGCCTCTGGTCTGTCCTGAAAATCCTCCCTGAAGGAACATCAAACCTAAATCAGGGGGATGAGTGGGGACACTGAGCCTGGCTGAGCACCCCCTCCCTTTCCAGCTTCAGTGCTTCCTCCCCTTTTTAACTGTTCCCTTTAAATTCCTGACCTTGATTTTTTGCAATCTGGGCACAGTGCTGGGGGGAAGGGACACAATCCAGCCCAGCAGGGACCACCAGCCCCCCCACATGGGTCCCCCATGGTTGTGTTAAACCCTCAGAGGTTTTGGTTTGGGGGTTGGGGGGGGATTTAAGCGCCTCGTTCTGGTCGTTGGCCGCGTGTCGGGAACGAGGGACTTTATTTTTCACCAAGAGGATTTAAATGTCATTTGCATAATTAACATGGCCTTAAGACAGAGCAGAGGTGCTCTCCTATGCTGGGAGCTCCCAGTTCACATTCCAGCTGTTGAATGACCCCAGGGACATTTGCTGACCACACCACGGGGAATGTCGTGATATTGGTGCCGTAGGAACCTCCCAGTGAATTTTCCAGCCCTGCACTGATCCTGAACACTCAGTTCTTTCAGCTGGTCATGACTCTGAGCCTTTGTGTCTTCACCATGGCCATGACACCCCGCTGAAGGGTGTCAGCACAATGTGAAACTGGGCAGAGGTGACTCACCTGAGGGGTTCGTGGGGTTTTATACCCGAAGGTCAGAAGTGGGATATCAGATCCTGTGAGGAGAATTTGGAATTCTGCTGTGATCAGTCCCAAACTGAGGTTATCTCCTGTGAGTAACACGTGTATAACAGGCATGGCTTGTCCCACAGAGCTGCCCTGTCCCTGGGTGGTGTTTTGGGTGATGGAATTAAAATGGTTTGTAAACTGGTTGTCCCGGTGTGATCCATACAGGAACAGCCCCGCTGGCCCGGGGGTTCCACTCTGGTGTCCCCTTTCACAGAGATGGAGTGAAGCAGCCAACTGCCCCATTCCTGACCTCGAAAAAGCCAAGGGATTTGGGGGCTTTTCCCTGCCTAAGTTACAGTTTTTACCAGTTTTGCAGTGGGTGACTGAATCCTACTTTTTAATAATTTTTTCTTATTAAGCTTAAATAAAAATACATGAGTTTTTAAGGCTGTAATGGGTTAAATGGCAGGGAGGGGAAGCCCCTTCTGTGCCCTGTGCTGCCCCTGAGGGTGAGGCCCAGGGTGGAGCAGCAGGTGATCCCATCTTGCATCTCCTTGCAGTGATTCCCCCTTTCCCTCACCTCCTGCTGTGCTGCTCCCCCAATCCTGCCTCTGCTTGGAGGTGTTGCTCCACAGTTTTATCCCTCTTTTCCCTTAGCAGACTCTCTGTAGCCAAATTTTTGCACTTCACTGTGTCCCCAGAGCTGTCTGCAGCTGATATTAATTAATCCTTTTTGCACCTCATCATTACAGATTTAGTCTCCCTTTAGTCACCTGCTCCCAATAAATGTCTTCCCAACACCTCAGTGGGATGTGGAGCACAGAGTCCACCACAGCAAGGGAGACCAGTTCAGCTGCAGCTTGTCTTGAGCAGCGTGAAATCCTGGGTTAAAAACAGGACAAAAAAAGCTTCTCCTTTCCCAGTTCCTCCCTGGTGCCGGGAGGAGCCCTGTGGAAACACGTCTCGTTTTCCTGGGCTCCAGAAAGCAAGTGCCAAGGTGAGTATTGACTTTGGGTGGAAAACACGTGTCTCATGGATGAATAAATCTCTCTGCTCTCTCACAGCAGAGCAGAGCTGCAGCTCCAGGGAAGTGCATCCATCTCCCCGTCCCTCCCAGCTCCAGTCCAGGTGGGAACACACGAAATGTCACCGCTGGCTCCTCGCTGGGATTCGGGATCCTCACCTACAGCAGAGCCCCACAGTGATGCCCATCACAGGCAAAGCACCTCCCAGGGCTGTGGGGAGAAGGGCCAGAGGGTCCTGGGCACAGGGAAGGGCTGATTTTTCCGTCCCCTGTATGGGGGGAGCAGCCCCGTGAGCTCAGCGTGGGCTGTCACTGGGCTGCTCCAGCACCGAGGGGCCTCCCCAGCTGTGGGGACTCTGGGTGTGACCATCTCCCATGGGAAATCCTGGTAATGTTACGTCCTGTCCCCTCCATCCACTCCCTCTCGATTCCAACAACAGGCAGGATCCCGTGTGACCCTGAGCCATCCCGGCACCTCCCACCCCATGACCTGTCCCTGCACTGACCTGAGCAGCAGCAGAGCCCTGAGCTCTTCAACGTGATTAAAATCTCAGGGTTTAATAACCACAACTCTGAGAGGCATCGAGGGGAGGAAATCAGCTGCTTCCAGCATGTCAGTGGGACAGCATCGGGCTGCTCATGCTGTAAGTGCCCAAATTTAGCTGGAAGCCCTGTGTCCCTGCCCTGCTCAGGGTTTGTTTCTCCGGGCTCTTTGTGGCTGCAGCTGTGCCACCCCCTTCCCGTTTGACTCCTGTGTCCTCTACAGCTGTAGCACCAGGGCACTCCGTGGTTCTTTATTTCTATTTTCATTCTGGCTGTAATGTTAAAAGGGTAATATGAACCACTTTAAATGTGATAACTTCTCGTCGGTATTGTTTGAGGAGATAAGAGCCCAAGCCCCACTAAGCACGCTTTTGAATTCACTTATCAGTGTTTAAGCAGCCTGTTCCCCCCTGTCCCCCCACCAGCACCTGGGTCGTGGCGACACGGGGAGAACCTGGGCTGGTGGATGAGGCCCCGTTCCAGCTCTGACCTTGCTGCTGAGGGCAGCCCTTGATTCCTGGCAGGAAAACGGGGCCCGTGCCTGGATTTGAATGTGCTGCGGGAAAAAGTGCAGCCTCGTGTAATCCCTGAGGAACCACCCATCAGAGCCAGGGACTTGCCTGGGGACAGCAGGATGGTCTGTCCAGGGGGTGCATGGACACAGGAGGAGGGTGGACTCTGCATTCCCAGTATCCCCAGTCTGGCTCAGCTCCCCCAGGTCCTGGAAGCTCCGGAATGTCCAACACGGCCTGGTCAGAGCTCTCGGAGCTGTTCATACACAGACAACCAGGATGATTTCCACCAGGTTTTCCTAATGCTGCCAATTAACAGCAAGTCAGATATCCCCCCCCAAAAAAAAGAATATTAATTCTTTATTAATTCATGATACAGCTGCTAATTAGTACCTCCACGAACGGGCACCACACCTCAGCCAAGCGCGGCGCAAACTCGGAGGCGTTTTGGGGCCCGGGGTGTGCGGAGGGAGGGACAGAGGGTTGTGTTAATCCTCTCCCCCCAACCCCGCCACGGCGAAGAATTTCAACTTTCAGACAAACAACTTCATTTACAAGTGTGTCTCTAATTAGCTGCAGAATTAGTAAAGCAGAGTTTTCCCCCCATAGATCGGCCAAAGCCCCCGGGGAGGCTCTGGAATGGAGAGAATCGCATTTCCAATTATTTTGTTGAATTGCTAATTTAGTTATTGTGCCTGGCGTAATTGTGATGGGTATTGGGTGTGCAATTCAATTTGTTTTAAATATTTGTGGGAAGGCTGATCAGTAATGGAGCTGACCTATTTCATGGCCCAAATTGAGAGAAGAGACTAAAACAAAAAACAGCTACAAAGCCCCAGTTTGTCTCAGTTTTTATTTTGATGTCTCTCATCCCTCTTAAGACTGTTGATGCAACAAAAGGTTTACATTAAAAGATGATGGCACTTTGATCTTGGGCTTTGGAGAGCTTACAGCTCTGGTACGTCTTTTCTTGGCATTTTAATATGTAGATATTTTAGGCTAAAGAGTTTTAAATGTGATTCTGGAGTTCAGCAGGGTCTGTCCCCTCACCACCCCCTATTTAACTATCAGGATTCTGGTTTGAGAAACGCATGAAAAATGAACTGCTGGAGTTGTGTTCACTCATGTGGGCAAATTTAACATCTCACCTTTAGTGTGGGGACCTCCCAAAAGGTGTTTGTTGAGCAGGTTCCCAGTGGGCCAAGGGTCCTGTGGGTCTTTTCCAATGGGCTCCTGCTGAGCAGGTGACTGAGGCTGGAAAAGATCTTTAAGATCCTCGAGTCCAACTGCCCCTGGGAGAGGGTCCCTGTAGTTCTCCCACCACCTCAGCAGCAGCTGCCAGGGCTCAGTTTTTCCCTGTTTGTCCCAGTCACTGTGATGTTAAAGGTGACAGTAAATCATGGAGCAGGAACAGGACCTGCCCAAGGGCTCAGGTGAAGGGCACGGCCGAGACCCCGAGGTGCTTCTGCTCCATCCTCCTGCCAGACCTTGAGGGGCTCCACACAAACCCTCCCCATAAACATTTCCCCTGTTCTTGCCCCAAGGAAAGCAGAGCTCCCCCCAGGGTGCCCAGGACAGGGGGTGACAGATTCCACTCCTGGCAACAGAGCTGTAATTCATTCTTTTTTATTAAAAGAAATTGAGGTAAGTGAAATACTTCAGCACCAGCGAGAACCGTATGGACCAAGGGGGGTCTCCCCACCCCGTGACCGACCCACACACCTGGGGACAGCACAGGTGACCTGGGGACAGCACAGGTGACGGTGCTCTGGCAGGTCCAGACCCCCCCAGGACACCCAGGGCTGGTGACAGACCCTGATGTCAGCCCAGCACTGATGTTACCCAACAGCTGGTTTTTTGGAGCTGCTTTACCCCCAAATTTAGTGGAGCCTGAGCCAGTGCTGGAACACTGAAACAATGGGGGCTGCTCTGCACAGGCCTTGGGGGAGCAGCTCCAAAGGGATCGGGGCAGTGGGCACTGGGACACTTCCCCTGACACCTGCAGGTGTCCTGGATAAGGGACTGACTGGTGACACCACCAGTAGGAATTCCTGGTGACGGGGAGGAGGAGCCCCACGAGTCACCCTCTGAGTGGTCCTGCCTGGCTGAGACATTCTCTGTCCGTGTGTCC